AGTCTCCTTTTCCCCAGGCTGAGCCCCCCCAGCTCCCTCAGAAGTTCCTCACAGGGTTTGTGCTCCCAGCCCCTCTCCAGCCTCGCTGCCTGCTCTGGCCACGCTCCAGCATCTCCCACCCCACCATCCCCAGCGTACCTGTGCCCCCGGCCCGTGGGGCTGCCTGGCTCCTGCCCTGGTCTCTCCTGGGCACTGCTCACCCGCGGGGCGATGCTCTGGCTCCTGCCTGGCAGGAGGTGCCCACGCTGCCGCCGTGGCCGGGGCTCAGCGGCCCTGCAGCTCCCCGAGGGGCACCTCGATGTTGAAGGTGTACCAGAAGACCCAGAAGACCAGGCTGAAGGCCAGCAGCAGGGCCCCCCCGTAAACGAAGAAGTCCCAGGAGCTGAGGGGAGCTGAGATGCCCAGGAGGAGGAAGAGCAGCCCCAGGGCGTCGCAGAGCAGCCCCAGCAGGGCGATGGCAGGGCAGCGCCCCAGCAGCCTGGCCGTGCCCCGCAGGGTGCCCATGGTGCCACCCCGAGCCCCTCAGCGCGGCGGGGGCAGCAGCATCCCTGCCTCGCTTGTCCCCAGCCTGCGCTGTGCTGCCAAGAGGAAGTGCAAATGTCACAGCACACCTTGCAGAACCCTCGGCAGCAGCCAGCTTTAACCGTTTCATGGCCCTGCCCCTGCGGGCACAGCCCGGGGGGGTCCGAGGGAGCCCACCCCGGGTGCTCTGGGCCCACCCAGGGGCAGCGGCTTCCCATCCGCTCTGTCCTAAAGGTGCAGATCTGCCCCAGCCCCAACCCTGGGATGGGACACCCAGATTTGTCACTTCTGGGATGGGACACCCAGATTTGTCACTTTTGGGATGGGAGACCCAGATTTGTCACTTTTGGGATGGGAGACCCAGATTTGTCACTTTTGGGATGGGACACCCAGATTTGTCACTTTTGGGATGGGACACCCAGGTTTGTCACTTCTGGGATGGGAGACCCAGATTTGTCACTTCTGGGATGGGACACCCAGATTTGTCACTTTTGGGCAGCATCCACAGTGGGAACATTTAGTATATAAATGTAATATAGTATAGGTTTAATAAAGCAATCCTTCAGCCTCCTGATCTGGAGCAGACACCATCAGTTCTTCCCTGAGCCGGGGTTTGCTGCATTTTTACTGTCCCTTCCCCACTTGCCATGTGCCCAACATGCAGTGTGGAAACAGGAAGGGCTTTTTGGGGTTCTGAACTCACTCTGGGCACCGGGAGCCCCCTGAAGTGTTTACTCTCACTGAGGACAGGGACGGCTGCTGGATTTTGGGGAGCGAAGGGCAAGTGCAGCTCATCCTGCGGGGACCTCACCCGCTGCCCAGGTGGGAGGAGCAGGAGCAGCAGTCGGGGACAGGATGGCCATGATCCAGGCACGGATCCAGCCCTGCAGCATCCCAGGGGAACCTGGGCCACCAGTCGGCCTCAGGGGTGTGAGGGTGTGATCACAGTCGGTCTCAGGGATGTGAGGGTGTGATCACAGTCGGTCTCAGGGATGTGAGGGTGTGATCAGTCGGTCTCAGGGGTGTGAAGGTGTGATCACAGTCGATCTCAGGGGGTGTGAAGGTGTGATCACAGTCACCAGTGGTCCCCTGCTTTCTCCCACCCCGCAGTGATTTATCCCAGCACTGACTGCCCCAAGAGCTAGTGTGACTGAGATCCTGGAATTGTGTGATGGTTTGGCTTAGAAGGGCCTTTAAAGATCATCAGTTCCAACCCCCTGCCATGGCAGGGACACCTCCCACTGCCCCAGGTGCTCCCAGCCCTGTCCAGCCTGGCCTTGGGCACTGCCAGGGATCCAGGAGCAGCCACAGCTGCTCTGGGCACCTGTGCCAGGGCCTGCCCACTTCACAGGGAAAAATTTCTGCCCAATCTCCCATCCATCCCTGCCCTCAGGCAGTGGGAGCCATTCCCTGGAGCCTGTCCCCCATCCCTCCAGCCCTCTTTGAACCCCTTTAGGTGCTGGAAGCCAGGCAGGATGGAAGTCCTCGGAGAGGGGTCTGCCCCAGGGCTGTGCCCATCTCCGGGCAGGTTTGGCGCTGTGGAAGCCCAGGAATGAGGCAGCTCAGACACCTGGAGCAGGGCGTTCTCCACCCCAGCCTGCCGGGCGGGTTTGCTGCCCGACCTTTGAGATGCAGGGGCAATGTTTCCCCTTGGAGCTGCTCTGCAGAGATAATGACTTTTGTAATGCGTTTCCTGTTCTTTTTATAGCGCAGGGAAAGCTGGCAGACCACGTCTGAGCTTGCTTCAGTCAGACATAATTATGTTTGCTGGAAAACCTGATCTTTTCTCTGAGCGTGTTTTCCTTTGGTCTGATCCAGAGCATCACAGCAGGATTCAAAGAGGCTTCAGTGGGAGCGCAGAGGAATAGCAGGGAGCAGGCAAAGGGGCTTTGGAGGTGCGTGGGAACAGCCCAAGGGTGGGGACTTCCCCATGGGCTGGTGCAAGGTCCATCCAGCCCAGCCCTGCCCAGCAATGGCAGGAGGACACAGCAGGGGAGCTCTGCACCCTCCTGCATCTGCTCCTCACGGACTTCTCCAGCACCCACCACTGTTGGGTCATGGAATTTAAGCGGCACATTCTTCTCTTCGCTTCTGCTGTCTCTATTTTAAAAATCTGTTGTCCATAAAACCGTTTAAATCCACGGATACTCCCTGTCCCTGCAGCCTCCCACATCCCAAGGAGGCAAAGGCTCACTGGTGCCACAGCCCAGAGGCAGGAATTAATTTCCCTGCAGCACAGTGGGGTTTTGCTGGGCCACAGCAGGGCATGAATTTTATGCCAGCTCCTTAAGAAACCCTTGTAAGGAGCCCTCAGGTTATCCTGCTTCTCTCTTTCCCTAAATTGCCCCAGCTCACTTCAAGAGAGGGATACAATTCCCACTGCTGGGAGCTCCAGTGCAAAATTCCCTGCAAAAAATGCAGTGATCAGGCATTTATACCCTGTGCTGCTGGGGGGGAGCTCCCACCTTGCTCCTGTACTTTCACCTGCAGTTATCCCCCTGCTGTTAATCTGACTTTCCCGTCAGTTATTTCCCATTTATAAATTTTATTAATCTGACTTCCCCCTCAGTTATCCCCCTGCTGTTAGTCTGACTTTCCCCTCAGTTTCCCCCCTATTGTTTATTTGACTTTTCTCTCAGTTATCTCCCACATGTTAATCTGACTTTCCCCTCAGTTTTCCCCCTGCTGTTAATCTGACTTTCCCCTCAATTTATCCCCCGCTGTTAATTTGATTTTCCCTCAGTTACCCCTCTGCTGTTAATCTGATTTTCCCTTAACGTTCCTGTCCTTTTGCCTCCCTGTCCCACCACAGATCTGGGCAGCAAATCCTGAGCTCCCTGTGCTGGATCCTCTCCTCTGCAGGCTCTGCTGGTCCTTGGCAGTTTCCTTTGCCCTGGCAGGCTCCATCCTCCTGCCAGGCACGCTCCTGACCCCACAGAGGCGTTCACCCACACCCAAACCAGCCCCAGCCCCACTCCTTGTCCTCCCCCATCCCGAGCCAGCCCCCCTGGCCAGCAGGGGCTGCATCAGCCCAAACTCTGTCACCCCACAGCAGAGATGTGACACAGAGCAGCCACGTCCCTGGGGAAGGTTTGCCTTTAATGAAAGCTCATGTTCTGGTTAGAAACGACCAGTCTGGAATCCAAGTCAATCCTCGGTGAGTTTTTATCACACTGACACCTCACTGACCGCCTCCTTCTCCTTGCCATGGGCAGCAGCAGCTCGCTCTGTCCCCTGGCAGTGCCAGCCCTGGCTGGGCACAGCTCTGTGCAGCAGGATGCATTTCCAGGTGCCCTCCATCCATCCATGCAGCACCAGGGCTCTGCCCTGTGCCCACACCTGCAGCCAGCTGGCACCTGGGGCTGCTCCTCACCCTGCTGCCCTGTTTGCCACGCTGAACCCCCCTGCCCATCGTGGGTCTGGCTGTGGCTGCCCCAGCAGCAGCTCTGGGTGAGTCCTGGTGCCCGCTGCCAGGGCAGGGCTGCAAACAGCGGCTGGGCGTGGCGTGACACGAGGGATGGCTGAGGAGCAAACAGCTCTGCTGGGTCCCATGCCAGATGTGGCACAGCCCCATCAGCCAGCTGGCACTGCCTGCCCAGGGATGCCTGCACCAGTCAGGAAACAAAATCCAGGGCCAGGCTGAGCCTGGGGCAAAGCGACCTGCGTGCTCCAACACCCCTAATCCAGCTGTGCCAGCTGCCAGGATGGCTGTGCCACCTCCAGCTGTGCCAGCTCCCAGGGTGGCTGTGCCACTCCAGCTGTGCCAGCTGCCAGGATGGCTGTGCCACTCCAGCTGTGCCAGCTGCCAGGGTGGCTGTGCCACCTCAAGCTGTGCCAGCTGCCAGGGTGGCTGTGCCATTCCAGCTGTGCCAGCTGCCAGGATGGCTGTGCCACCTCCAGCTGTGCCAGCTGCCAGGATGGCTGTGCCACTCCAGCTGTGCCAGCTGCCAGGGTGGCTGTGCCACCTCCAGCTGTGCCCACGCGGATCATGGAGAGGATGGAGGGGATGCCCAGGCACGCAGCCCTGGTCACAGGCTGGCAGCAGTGCCAGGGTGAGCTGCCTTCAGCCAGGCTGGGGAAGCACAGAGGTCTCAGCTCTCAGGAGGGGCACACCTGCAGGCAGGAACGGCTCCAGAAATGGGGGAGGCCCAGCAGAGACGGCCAGGAGGGGGTGGAGGTTCCTGGGAGGGGACCAGCCCCCAGCCCTGAGCACAGCTCCCACAGCTCAGAGCCTTCCCAGACACCTTCCCTTGTCCCTGCCCTGCCAGGGCCTGGGGCAGCAGGGGCTGGGACCTTCTGCAGGGGCTGGGACCTTCTGTAGGATCTGGGACCTTCTGCAGGGGCTGGGACCTTCTGTAGGATCCGGGACCTTCTGTAGGGGCTGGGACCTTCTGCAGGGGCTGGGATCCTCTGTAGGGGCTGGGATCCTCTGCAGGGGCTGGGACCTTCTGTAGGATATGGGAACCTCTGTAGGGCCTGGCACCCTCTGTAGGATTTGGGAACCTCTGTAAGGTCTGGCACCCTCTATAGGATTTGGGAACCTCTGTAAGGTCTGGAACCCTCTGTAGGATTTGGGAACCTCTGTAGGGTCTGGCACCCTCTGTAGGATTTGGGAACCTCTGTAAGGTCTGGCACCCTCTGTAGGATTTGGGAACCTCTGTAGGGTCTGGCACCCTCTGCTTCTGCTGTCTCCTGCTGCTGGGCCGATCCTCCAGCAAATGAGGGAGCTTGAAGGAATTGTGGCTCCTCTCTGCCGGGGGGTCCTGCAGAACCTCCCGGGGATCTGGGCCGCTCTGGGGTTTGCCTCAGGCCAGGCTCCTCTGGGCTGTGCTTTGCCCAGTTTGTGCTGCTGGCTCTCTCTTTGGTCGGGGGTGATGCAGAGACCTTGGGCACGCCTGGCTGGGCTCAGCTGCAAACCCCTGCTCCTTTCTCCTGGGATGACTTGGATGAAGTACAAAGGGGATTTTCACACTGGAGACTGTGGGGGGAAAACGCTGACGGGGCTGAAATCCTCTAGGGAGTACAAGAAAGTGTTTGTTTTCATGGCTGATCATCAGGCTCGGTGGAAGGCAGGGGAACCTTCTCGGGAAGGTCCTGGCTGCCCTCAGCGGTTGAAGAAGAAGGACTTGAGGCTCTGTAGGAACTGGGACTTCTGCCTCTGCTTCTGCTTCTTGCGGATGATGGGGATCCAGACCAGGCCACAGACCAGGAGCATCAGTCCCAGGGACAGGAAAGCCGGGCCAGACATCTTGTACACCTTCTTGTTCTTGGTCAGGAAGCAGGAGAGGCTGGTGATGACCACCCCGAAGAGGAAGACGGCCGCTCCCACGGACACCACGACCACGGGCTTGTGGTAAATGTCCCACTTGCTCCTGGGGGCGCTGGTCCACACGGACTCGCTGCGGGAGCTGGTGCACAGCGTGCTGCCCGTGTCGCTGGTGATCAGCTCCCGGAGCTGCGGGGACTTCTCGCTCTCCTCGGGGCTCTTGGGGGGCACCTCCATGCTGCTGGGCTGGGAGCAGGACACCTGGTGTGGAGGAGAGAGAGCAGAGCAGGGCAGTGATGGGGGATGCAGGCTGCTTGCCTTTGCTCGTCAGTGATGCAGCCCAGGTGGAGGAGGAGGAGGTTTTGGGGGTCACTGCAGGGAAAGGAGCATCACACCCATGGGATGGTGGAGCAGGCAGTGGGATCCTGCAGAAGGATGGGCACAAGGATGGGCAGTGCCACCACTGCAGTGCCCAGCACAGCTCTCCCTGAGCACCACACAAACCTTCAGCCCACGTGGGCTTCGATCCTGAGCAGGGAACCCAGCCCCCCCTGCAGCCCCCCACGGCTCTGCTTGCTCTGCTCAGCAGCCTGGCTCTCCAGGAGCTGGCACCTCACAGGTGATGCCAGGCTGGCGTTGCTCCCTGCCTGTGCCAGGGCAGGAGTGACCCCAGAGCCCGTCAGCCCCGGCTCTTTTCCTGGAGCTGCTGATCCGTGCGGGAGCCAGTTCCACGTCAGGGCAGCCACGCTGGGGCTGCAAGGCTGGCACAGCTCCAGGGGCTGGAGGAAAGCTGCCCAGAGCTGGGCCACGCTGGGCTCAGTGCCCACCTAGGGATGCTGGTGGATGGGTGCCAGCCAGCACCTCCCTCACGCCTCCAGCTGTGTCCCTGCCAAGCTCCGTGGTTACTCTGAGAGGAGACAGATGCAATTTTGTCATTCAGTGCCCCCAGCACAGCCAGTGCTGCCGAGCTGCTGCTACTGACATCTTTGGGCTGTTTCAGGTCTGCCAGGCTTGGACAAACAAGCACAAAACCAAGGCCAGGAGCAGAGGACAAGGTTTGCAGCCCTCCTGGCTGGAGTTCTCACTGCTCTGTTGAAACAGGAAAACAGGGGCAGGGCAAGGGACACATTTCTGACAGGGAATCCCAGAATCCCAGAGTTCTTTAGGTTGGAAAAGCCCTCCCAGCCCATCAATTCCAATCTGTGCCCCATCCCCACCTTGTCCCCAGCCCAGAGCTCTGAGTGCCACCTCCAGGAATTCCCTGGGCACCTCCAGGATGGGCATCCAACCCTCCCTGGGCAGTTCCAATTCCTGAGCTCCCTTTCCATGGGGAAATTCCTGCTGGTTCCACCCTGAGGCCGTTCCCTCTCCTCCTGCCCACTGAGGCTCTGCATGGGCAAAATCTTTGCTGCGCTGGCACCTCCACAACCTGTCCTGGGGTCACCCCAGTCCCCCAAACCCAGCAGCTGCAGCTCTGCAGGGACGTACTCAAATCCTGAGTAATTCCAGGTGCCACCATCCACCTCACTCGGAGCACCGCTGCCTTCTGCTCCCCCTCTTCCAGTGCAGCCCAGCCCTTCCCTGAAATTTCATCCTGGCATTTGTCTTTGTCCTCCTGACGTGAATCACAGAGAGATTTTATGATCAAGTCTAACTTTAATTTGGTTTTGTGCTAGGAAATTTGCTTTATTCTCCGGAACAATCCCACACCTCAGCAGCCTGAAACTCGATGTGCTGTTCCATCCCTCGGGCATCCCATTCCCTGAGTGTGCCACCCTGCGTGTGCACCCCAGGGCAGCAGCTCTGCCCCTCTGTGTGCAGAGCTGTCATGCCAGGCTGCTGCAGGAACCAGCAGCTGCCTTTCAGCGTTGCCTTTCCACCAGAGAGGATTTATTCCTCCCTTCATTTCCTGGCAGCACCACCCCTCCCACCACAATTCCCAGACCCTGCTCGTTTTCCCAGCGCTTCCTGGCAGAGCCTGCTCTTGTTTTCCATCACACTTTTGCCCACTGCTGGCTAATGAAGGATCTCACTCCCTGCCCAGAGCTTGCTTGGGAGCACTGGGAGGATCTGCAGCTCTTGGGAGAGCTAATGCAATTCCAGCTGCTGCTCTACCCCTGCTCCATCCCCAGTCCATCACCGATGAGCAGCCGGGCAGGAGAGTGCTATCGGATTTCTCCCGGATTTTTAGCCATTGTTGGAAGCAGACAATCAGCAGATGACTCTTGGCCTCCAGAGCACGTCTCAGGTTTCACATGTGGTGGTTCTGAAGGTCTGTGCAGCTCTCACTGATGGGGTCTCTCCTTCCCCTCTCCATCAGGGAGAGCTCCTGAGATTCTCCTCCCTTTGCTGTTCCAGAGCTATGTGTGGCAAATGTGGGCTCTGGACTGGGAAATCTCGGGGGGCTCCTTGCTGGGGACCCCAGAGGCCAGGCACAGCCCACAGAAAGTTCTGAGGAGGAGCCCAGGTGAGCTCTGCAGCCCATGGATGTGGCTCGCCCTGATCCCTGCTGGGGAGAGGCAGAGAGCCCCAGACCCTGCCAGGGCACTGCCCCAGCACTGCTCTGCCTGCCACCAGTGCCCCAGACTGGTGGGACTGGGCGTGTGGCAGCTCCAGGCACCTGCACAGAGCTGTGCACAGCCCTCCCCAGCTGCTGTGTGACACCGAGATCCTGCCCCACAGCCAGGGACCCCCAGGCCCTCCCACGGCCCCACGGCTCTCTGGGGCTTCCTGGATGGCTCCTGACGGTCTCCTGGCCAGGAGCAGCACCAGTGCCCTGCAGAGCCTTGGGCTGGGACCCAGAGGGTCCTTCAGCAGGTTTGTCCCTTGGTTTGTCCTTCAGCAGGAGATGTACCCAGCCTGTCACCCCAACAGGCAGCAGATCCTCTCTGGGTCCCAGCTGGGAGGAAAACAAAACCCTGGGGAATGGGGGAAAAGATTTTCCTGCTGCTCTGCAGTGTCTCAGTTGGTTTCTAGCTGGTCCTGGTGTTTATCTCAGTCCAGGACCCCCAGGGGACAGCAGCAGGTCCGTCGGGAGAAGGGGTTTGCTGCTCTGGGGGATCCGTGTGCCCATAGAACGGGAGGGGAGGAGGCTGCTGCACCCATGGACATGCACAAACTCAGCAGAAACTTCTCCTGGGCTGTTCCTGCTGGCCAAATTCAATCACGAGTGGCTCTCAGTCAGCTCCCAGCAAGAGAAATGAACATTCAGGGACCCAGCACGGCCAGGGTCCCCGAGAAACCCAGAAAGATGAAGTCTGAGGGAGGTGGGGGACCTGTTGTGCCTCAGGTGCCACATGCAGAGCAGCCCCACGGCCCCGTCTGCCTCGGGCACTGCCCATGGGGAGGTGTTGGGGGCACAGCACCCAAAGCCCCGAGAGGGAAAGGGCTCCAAACCCCCAGGGAGCGAGGCTGAGCCCACTCCCCACGCTGTGCCTCTGCTGTCCCCGCTGTCACTGGGCTCTGGTGGCTGCAGGTGGCTGGTGGCACTCACGGTGCCCTGGGCACGCCACTGAGTGACCCCACCACCGGCGGCTCTGCGGGGGCAGCTCGGGGCAGCTCCAGCCTTGTGCTGCTTGTGCCAGCCCCGGGAGGGCTGGGCTCTGCTGGGCTCAGCTTAGGAGGGCACGGGGAGGTTGTGGCGGCAGGGGTGGGTGCCCGAGCCCCATCCCTGTCCCTGTGCCCTGTGAGGTGAGCCAGGAGCGGCTGGCAGCTGTGCCTGCAGACGGGCTGGTGCTGCCCCAAAACCCTGCGGGCTGCCAGAGGGTCTCACCTCCCCTGCCAACCCTGCAAAGCCCCTGGGATGGGGCCAGAGGCAGAGACCCCTGGCTGGTGGAGGGCAGCTGGGCTGGGCTGGTGCCTGCATCCCTCGGGAGCAGCTCCCCAGCACTGCCAGGGGCTGGCCCAGAGCACCTCAGGGACCTGCTGGGCGAGGAAGAGCCGCAGGTGCCTCTGTGGGGCTCGGGCAGAGCATGAGCCCACCCCTCTCCCTCTCCAGCCACGGGCACCCCGCTACTTACGCGCTGAGCAGGGAGGATGGCTGCAGCCGAGGCCCCTCTCCAAAGGCAGCTCACCCCGAGCCCCACATCCCTCTGGGTGTTGCCTGCTGGGCTCTGTTGAGTCTCATAAACAATGGAGCATCCCGGCCCCGATGATCTCACCAGCCCATCAGGATGGGTTTAACCCCTTGTGGCCCCGCTCCTGTGCTGGGAGGGCTGCGGGAAGGCAGGGCAGGGCTGCAGCAGGAGCCCGGCGCTGGGGGCTTGGTGCTGATCCAGCCTTGGACCAGCAGCAAGTTCCTGAAACATCTCTGAAGTGCATTTCTGCCCTCTCAGAGCAGGGAATCGTAGCCAGAGACTGCAAAGTGCTTTGAAGCTCATCAGCGAGGCATTAGAGGGATGCAAGGTATTAGCAGTTATCTATTAATTAACATCCTGAGTCCATTACAGCGAGGAGGATGGGAAGAGAGAGGCGGTTCTGGAAATACTGCTTCAATTCAGGAGCCCCGAGCCAAACTTCCACCCCCTGTGACAGCAGTGTGGTGCAGGAAGGACCCAGCAGTGCCATTGCTGCTCTCCTGGGCTGGCTTCCAGTGCTGGATCCTCCATCCCTGAGGGACCCTTGCTGGGCTGCTGCAGTGAAAAACCGAGTCTGAGCTGCAGCACGGGGCTGGCTGGAGTGGGACGGGCTGGGAAGAGGCTGTGGAGCTCTCCTGGCCATGTGCATGACCCACAGGGGTCAAGGCTGGGCACAGAGGCAGCACAAGGGGCTGGAAGGGGAAGGGAGGGTCCAGAGGGGCAGCGTGAGGGGACAGCACCTCGTCCAGGTGTGGGCAGCTGGCAGGAGGACAAAACCTGGCTGAGGTCCTTCAGCTCAGCTCTGGGCAGCCCTGTGGCAGCAGTGGTGGCCAGGGGACAGGCTGTGGAGTTTTGGGAAGGGGCAGGAGGCTCCCAGCTGGGCTGAGCTCATCCCTGCTCTGGCCTCACTGTGCATGAGTTACCTGGGCACAGTGGCCCTGCTACAGCCGGGTGAATGCTGCCCATCCATCTGGGAACCTGCAGCCGAAGGAACCGGGGGGGCTAAACCTGCGCTGGGTGGGTGGGATGGAGGGGGATCCCTCCCGGGATAAATGGGGATCCCTGCGGGATAAATGGCGGATCCCTCCCGGGATAAATGGGGGATACCTCCCGGGATAAATGGGGGATCTCTCCCGGGATAAATGGGGATCCCTCCCGGGATAAATGGGGATCCCTGCGGGATAAATGGGGATCCCTCCTGGGATAAATGGGGATCTCTCCCGGGATAAATGGGGATCCCTCCCGGGATAAATGGGGATCCCTCCCGGGATAAATGGGGATCCCTGCGGGATAAATGGGGATCCCTGCGGGATAAATGGGGATCCCTCCCGGGATAATTGGGGATCCCTCCCGGGATAAATGGGGATCCCTGCGGGATAAATGGGGATCCCTGCAGGATAAATGGGGATCCCTGCGGGATAAATGGGGATCTCTCCGGGGCTAAATGGGGGATCTCTCCCGGGATAAAAAGGGAGATCCGTCCCAGTGGGTGCAGGCAGACGCTGGGGCTGCATCCCCCACCCCAGCTGGCCCGTGCCCCCTCCTCGGGCAGCCTCAGCCCCCCGGGACCCTCCGCACCCCACGGCCGGCTCCAGCCCCGCATCCCCGCGGTCTCCGTGCTCTCCCGGTGCGCTCCCGGTGCTCTCCCGGTGCGCTCCCGGTGTTCTCCCGGTGCGCTCCCGGTGCTCTCCCGGTGCTCTCCCGGTGAGTTCCCGGTGCGCTCCCGGTGCGCTCCCGGTGCTCTCCCGGTGCTCTCCCGGTGCGCTCCCGGTGCTCTCCCGGTGCTCTCCCGGTGCGCTCCCGGTGCGTTCCCGTGCGGTCCCTGCTGCCACCGCGCGGGGACACGGAGCGGCACCGCGGCCCGGGGACACCGGTACAGGCGGAGCCCCCGGGGACACCGGCAGCCGCTGGGTTTGACAAGGACGAGCGCCGGGCTCTGCCCCGGGCCGGGGCGGCGCTGGAGGCACACACCGGGGAACGGGAGGCTGGAGACGGGCAGGGACCGGCCCAAAGGCCACCCTGTCCCTGGGGACAGCCAGGGGACAAAGGGGATTGTCCCGCTCTGCTCTGGGCTGCGGCGGCCTCACCTCGAGTCCCAGGGCAGTTTTGGGTAAGATAAAAATGTCTAAAGCTGTCAGGGAGTGTCTGAGGAGGGACGTGAAGATGGGGAAGGGTCTGGAGGGGCCGTAGGAGGAGCTCTGTCCTCAGTGGGAGTTTATTTAGGATCATGGAATGACCTGAGTGGGAGGAGACCCCCAGGATCGCCCAGCCCAGCCCCCCAAAAACCCCACCCTGGGCACCCCTGGCAGTGCTGTCCAAGGGTTCCTGCAGCTCTGGCAGCCTCGGGGCCGTGCCCGTGCCCTGGGGAGCCTGGGCAGTGCCAGCACCCTCTGGGGAAGAACCTTTCCTGAAATCCATCCCCAAACTCCCCTGGCCCAGCTCCAGCCTCGGTGCTGTCCCTGTCCCAGAGCTCTGCCCCGGCTCTGCTCCGGGCTGAACAACCCCCATGCCCTGGTGTGGCCCCCAGACCCTTCCCCACCACCGTGCCCCTCCTGTGGACACTGGAGCAGCTTCACAGCCTCTTTTCTCTCCTTAGGTGGTGCCCAGGCCGGGCTGTGCCCTGCTGGGACAGGAGCCCACGTCCCCACGGCTGTGGGGCTGCTGGAGGTGCCAGGGGCTGCCAGAAGTGCCATGGATGGAGCTGAGCTCAGCGGGAGCACCGAGCCCAGCACAGCTCCAGGTTATTGGAAATGCAGGTGAAGCTGCTGGGAAGGAATGCTGATGTCTGACTCCAGTTCAGAAGGCTGAATTATTTCTTTATTATAACTAGACTATAATACATTAATATATATTTAAAGGAGATACTCAAACGACAAACCTGCTTTTTCTAACTCCCATATCTAACTCACTCACAACTCCTGACTCTCTGAGAGCCCAGCCCCAGGCGGGTTGGATTGGCCACCAGCTCAAACAATCCTCACCAGAATCCAACCAAGCCATCACCCCAGGTAAACAATTCTCCACACACATTTTACATAGGAAAACAAGGAGCAGAAATAGAAATTGTTTTCTCCTTCTTCCCTCTGTGCTGCTCTATGAAAAATCCTGAGAGAGAGAAGAATGTGCTGCCACAGTAGATGGTGCTGTTGCCCTGTCGGATGATGCTGGCAGGGGCAGCAGAATCCCATATCCCAAACCAGGAGTGCTGCATCCATCTCAAGCCTCTGGAAGGGGAACCTGAATCCCAAAAAGCTTCCTGCAGCCCCTCTCCCCACCACCCTCATGGGAAACCTGAATCTCAAAAACTTCCTGCAGCCCCTCTCCCCTGCACCCTCATGGGAAACCTGCAGTGCAGCTGGCTCTGCTGGAGCAGCAAGCCCATCCCAAGGTTTCTGAGGACCTGCATCCCTCCCCCAGCTGTCTCATGGTAAAGGGACTTTGTTATGGTCTTTTGGTTGGTTTGGGCTTTTTTTTTTTTTTTTTTTTTTCCCCTTGGCTGTGGAGAAAAAAACGAAGAAATCCTGGGATAAAATCCTGGGATAAAGGGGCTGGCAGTAAAGCTTGGAAGAGTTTCTGCATCCAGTTCTGACCTCCTCAGTACAACAAAGACAGGAGCTACTGCAGGGGAGGTGGCAGGGTACAAATTTAATGGCAATGCCCCAGAGCTGCTGCAGATGAAATATAAATTTTAAGGAATTTAGAGATTTTAGAGGAGCTAAAATTTCAGTTAGAGATAAGCCTTACTAGAATTAATTAAAGTAAATGAATAGGCCTTGATGAAGTTAAGAGTTAGTAGTTAACTAATAATTGATTGCTTGTCAGCACAATGTTTAGTTAGCTGGGTTTATAATGAAGAATACAGAAACTGACAAAGAGCTTTTAGGAACATAAGACAATTGTGGGCCCCCTCTGTTCCGAAACCAACTGAAGACAAGGAATGGGAGTTCTACCAAGAGTTCATTTGTCATATTTGCATTGAAAAGGTAGAAAGGACAGAATGAGGAAGACTTCATTTACTTCCTCATTTTGGGATCCCTCCCCATGAAAGGGACACCAACCCATTTGAAGGAACAAACCACACATGCTTAAAAGCTTTTGGAGTGATTAGCGTAGGAAGCAAGGAATGGGCTGTACCAAAATGACGAATATGCATTTGTATTTTGGGTATTCAATACTTGTATGGATGAAAGGGCTCTGTAATCACCTGGAAGGGGCGGTGTGGATTTGGGAGCGATCCCACACACAATAAATACACTTTGTAACTTTAAACTGTTAGAGAGTTTTTGTCCATCACAACTGGATATTGGTACTTGATCAATATCCATATTTTTTAATAAATCACAGAAACATCCCGAAGGACCCCAAGGTGAGTCTGACACCAGTGTCATGTTATCCCTTGTGGCACCAGGTGCAGCAGGAGAGCAAGGCAGAGTGTCACGGCCCTGCCAGCCCCAGGGCTCTGCCAGGGGACAGCTCCAGGCTGTGCCCTCCGTTTGGGAGCTGGGTGTGAGGTGAGAGGAGCCCGAGCTGTGCCAGCTGTGTGTTCTCCAGCCTTTCAGCCAGGCACCTTTCAGCCCACAAGGAACTCTGCTTTATGTTTGAATTACTACGGGGGAGAGATAACAACTCCATAATTAGGTTTGCACCTTTGAAATCTTATATTTCTTTTGCAGCTTGAATATTTATGCAATCACAGAGCTTCGCATGTCCCAGTTCTCCACATTATTTATTTATGTTCAACAACGACTGTACTTGTTAAATCACAATGTTTTCAAGAAAATATATGAGAAAGGAAGAACAAAAAACGCACCTCAAGCCCAGAAATGCTTTTTCCTCCTCTCCCCCAAGCCTCAAGGCCTTACCTTGGATCCTTTCTGTTGGAAGCCCTGGGGATCTCTTAGCTCCAAACTCATGGTAAGTTGTACAAACACAAATAATTTGTTTCTCTAAAGGAGAAAAGGGCTGGGCCAAAGTGGGAACTGGGGATTTCTCTGAAGAGTCTCAAGCTCAGTGCTGGGTTCCATGT